TTATTACCTGTTTTAAGTTGAAAAAACAAAATAGGGTCCACATATTCAAAATTTGTCGCCAACGTGTACATTAATTTAAAACAGAAATATAACTGCCAACCTGCTTAGAAACTTGAAAGATAATCACATTTAACACTGTTCCATTCAACCACTGCCACCGCCACCACAACCGCCGCCGCCACCACCACCACCTTGTCCACTCTCCCACCGTTGGCTAGGCGGAGAAACATCACAACCAACGCCCTCCGCCACAGCCAAATAGATTGCCTTTTTCTTTTTTCAATCTAAATATGGCTGAGGAGAATTCAGAGAATATTATTTACCTCCATGGGGATCTGGATCTCAAGATTCTCGAAGCTCGTTGTTTGCCAAACATGGACATGGTATCGGAGCGGTTCCGACGTTGCCTCACCGTATTTAGCATCTGTCGAAATCCATTTAGCTCCAGGCGCCGGAAAAATCATCAGCATCATCATAAGATCATTACGAGTGATCCTTATGTTACGGTTTGTCTGGCAGGAGCTCGGGTGGCTCGTACGCACGTGATATCTAATTCGCAGGCTCCAGAATGGAATGAGCATTTTAAGATCCCGTTAGCTCATCCCGTATCGCAGGTGGAATTTCAGGTGAAAGATAATGATGTGTTTGGCGCGGATCTAATCGGTGTCGCCACCGTATCTGCCAAGAGGTTAGCCTCCGGCGAGGTTATTGACGAATGGGTTCCAATAATCGGATCCTATGGGAAGCCTCCGAAACCCGATACAGCAATTAGATTGCACATGGCCTTCACTCCATGCTCCAAAAATCCGATTTATTCGAATGGGATTCTGGAAGATTATGGATTGAAGGAGAGTTATTTCCCGTTGCGCCATGGAGGGAGGCTGACATTGTATCAGGATGCGCACGTGCCGGACGGGTTGCTGCCGGAGATAGAGTTGGATGAGAAGAAGATTTTCGAGCACGAAAAGTGTTGGGAGGACATTTGCCACGCCATATTAGAAGCGCACCATGTGGTGTACATAGTGGGATGGTCGATATATCACAAGGTGAAGCTGGTGAGAGAGCCAACGAAGCCAGTGCCGGAAGGCGGGTTTTTGAATTTGGGAGAGTTGCTCAAGTACAAGTCTCAAGAAGGGGTGAGGGTATTGCTTTTGGTTTGGGATGATAAGACTTCCCATAACAAGTTCTTCATAAATACGGTATGAATTTTGATTATGATTATATTTGTTGAACCTCTCATTTAGAAGATTAAACTTTTAGCCAGGATTACTAGTATTCATTTAAATTTAATCTTCATCACAGCTTCTCACATAGCGGCCTCAGTTTTTCATCGAATGTTATGCTTCATAAATTTCTTGATAATTGAGCTTTTGGCCTTGTCGTGGTGTTTTTATAATTAATAGATTTCTTGATAATGATTTTTGGCATCTCTTATATTGGTGCTCTTGGCTATTTGTAGTATGACAATTCTCATTCTTGACTAGAGTGCTTAGTTAAACGTGGGTTAGATAATAGAAAATGGTGAAGTGAACAAGTTAGGAAGAGATAATAAGGATATTTTTTATATTAGATGGAGACTGGAATCAACTCAATAAGAATATGACGATATCAGCCCACACCCTCCCAACAAAGTTAATAGTTGTGCTAACTTAAACAAATTTGCGCCTTTCCAAATTCAACTCCAATTTTAGTTGGATGAAGATGTTCTCTATTTTCCATTGGGAATCAGAGTACAAGCATTCCTATTTCTCTGTTAAAAGCAGCAAGATACCAAACTATGATTTTTCTTATTCCTGATCTCCATTTTGATTTCTGCTTCGAGTTTAGAACAACTTGCCCGAGAGTGAATAACAGGAATATGGTAGAAATGAACCTGAGGGAACTGCCAAATGTTGGTGAGCTTGCTTCTGTTTAATTATGTTATCCAAATTGGTTATGGATTAGTTGCCAAATTTTGTAATTTGCTGAAACCGTGTCAATTTTGGACACCAGGACAAGTTATTCGTAATGGCAGTATTCACTTTTTAAGAAAGAACATATATACTATAACTGAAATTGATATGAAAGGAGACATGTCATGTTACTATATCAGTGTATTATTGCTGTTGATTAGTACTTAGATGTTAGAACTTGTATCAGTTGTGAAGTCATGCCCGTTTTCAACTCATACAAATATGTTGCACTCAAGCTGTCATACAATGTTGGATTAGTTATGGCATGGAAAATGAAGCATCAAAGTAACATTTGGCATTTATATTTTGCTATTTTCCTCGTCATTCTATTGATCCATTTGATTGCCACTTTAATGCAGACAGGAGTAATGCAAACTCATGATGAAGAAACTCGAAAGTTTTTCAAGCACTCGTCTGTCACTTGTGTTCTGGCACCTCGTTATGCGAGCAGTAAACTTAGCATTTTCAAGCAACAGGCATGCCTTAAATCTTTTTTATCATTTCCGTTATGTGTTGTAATTTGATAATTTCAATTCAAAGTTAGTAATAATTGGGTTATAAACAATGTTGGCTTCGATTCAAGTCTGTTGCTTAACAATTTCTCTTCATTGGGCTTCCTATTAAGAGAAATCCTAATCTAGATAAGCTTCCACGCACACACCCCAAAAAAATGATAATGCTTTTAATGCTTAAGTAGATATATATCCATGTAAACTTAACAGTAGTGTTCTTTTGTTACTCAGGTTGTTGGAACACTTTATACACACCACCAGAAATGTGTGATTGTGGACACCCAAGCCCAAGGCAATAATCGGAAGTTAACGGCTTTCATCGGTGGTCTTGACCTCTGCGATGGCCGCTATGATACACCCGAACATCGAATATTTTGTGATCTCAACACTGTCTTTGAGGATGATTTTCACAATCCAACATTTCCTGTAAGCATTTTTTATATTCAGTCCTTGGAGAAAAACAAGTTCATATATTCATTGTACTGTATACTATGAGGTTTTAAGATCCTATGTTTTTTTTTTTCCTTCTAATTTTGTGATTTTTGTTCTATAATAGCCAGGTACAAAGTGCCCAAGACAGCCATGGCATGACTTGCACTGCAAAATTGAAGGGCCAGCTGCTTATGATGTGCTCACAAACTTTGAGCAGCGGTGGAGAAAAGCCACTAAATGGTCGGAGATTGGACGACGGTTTAAAAGAATATCACATTGGCATGATGATGCTTTGATAAAGATAGAACGCATTTCATGGATAATTAGTCCTTCCACAACTGTTTCGAATGACCATCCATCATTATGGGTTACCCAAGAAGATGATCCCGAAAACTGGAATGTTCAGGTTCGTAAGAATATCTTAATAAAAGAATCTCTTTTTTTTTTTTTTTAATTTCAGGAACTAAACTTAGTTTTGGTTAATTATATTGACATCAACAGGTTTTCCGATCCATAGATTCCGGTTCTTTGAAAGGATTTCCGAAGAACGTCCATATGGCTGAGGAGCAAGTATGATTGAGTTTTGAACTCCACAAGCATGTTTAGTACACAATATTGGACAGTACTACAAGATTTTTACTTCTTTTCCTCTTTTAATCCTGTAAAATATAGACCTATCCTGTATAATAAACATGACACGTATACTAGCTAGTTCACAATAATCACTAACTTGGATTATCTGATGGACATTGATACATTGTTTATGGTAACAAATAATTTTGGAATTTTCTCTGTTTCAGAACCTAGTCTGTGCCAAAAACCTGGTGATTGATAAGAGCATTCAAATGGCTTATATTCAGGCAATAAGATCTGCCCAACATTTCATATACATTGAGAATCAATATTTCCTCGGGTCATCTTATGCTTGGCCCTCCTACAAACATGCAGGTGGAACTCCTTTTCTATGATATTCTAGTTTTACACTGGCTTGAAAAGCAATGGGATATCCAATTTATTCACGTAGAAGTAGCCCTTGAAAGATTGCATCTTTATCTATAAGCCTCAAAATGATAATCAACAAAAAAGGAAAAAATACTACTTATTTTGACAGCACAATTTCCTATAAAATAAATGAAATGCAGTACGGCTAATCAACCTAATAAGGTTGTTGAGTTTACAAGTATCTATGATGTCCATATTTAGTATTTGAACTGTCATATTTCACCTTCTCTTCCATGAATATCAATAAATAACCTTTTTATTGTTTCCTTAGGTGCTGATAACTTAATCCCTATGGAGCTGGCATTAAAGATTACCAGTAAAATAAGGGCAGAGCAGAGATTCACAGTTTATGTTGTTGTCCCAATGTGGCCTGAAGGTGTTCCCACTTCTGCATCTGTACAAGAAATTCTGTATTGGCAGGTAATCATAGTTCTTGAATATGCATGTTCTTATTCATGTTACTGACATGAAATATTATTCACTTTATGCTTTATTCTTGCAGGGACAGACGATGCAAATGATGTATGAAATTATTGCCCGAGAACTAAAGTCTGCCAACATCAAGAATGCGCATCCAACTGACTATCTAAATTTCTATTGTCTTGGTAATCGAGAAAAAATGCACGGCAAAGGATCTTCCAGTGGTCAGACTTCCCCCAATTGCAATGTGGTAATAATGTTTCTCTTTGGTTATTCTGCTATTTTATTATTAAAGACACCTTTATTCACTGCAAAATTTTCTTATTCTTGTTTCAATTAGAAAATCCAGCTGCATTAGTAAGAAAATATCTGATTCCACAGGCAGATTAAGATGAAAGAAGCATAATGCCAACTTACATGACCTTATAATGCATTACAACTCCTATATCTTGTCAAATAATATCTGCTTGTTGGTTTCTGGATGTCGTAAAATTTGAAGCCATGCATTAGAAGTTGAACTTCATCAATTTCATTTATTTCCTATTTCTTTCTTTTACATGAAAATGGACATTAAATTAGGTACTCTAATACCGTTCTGTTCTCCTATTGTCTTGTCTTTGCATTATATTCTGCCTCTCAAGTTTAGTTCCCTAATATGCTAACATAGAGTTAAAGAAAAACTTACTGGTTTCTGATTGAAAATGTCGATCTGTACCATATCTTTCTAGAATTTTGGAATGGCATTGCATTTAGTCTGTAAGCATTCTTTAGTATATTAGGAAAATGCCATTTTGCCAGAATAACAATGAAATCAAGGCAATATATTTTCATTTTAGATTTATGAGTAACAATGAAATCAAGGCAATGTTTTTGCTGTTTCAAACTATTTCCCATATATGAAATTGAACTGCCGCAGGTGTCAGCTTCAGAAAAATTTGAACGATTTATGATTTATGTACATGCCAAGGGAATGATAGTGGATGATGACTACGTGATACTCGGATCTGCAAATATTAACCAACGATCTATGGCCGGTTCAAGAGATACAGAGATTGCTATGGGCGCTTATCAGCCCCATCAAACTTGGGCGAAAAAGAAGGCACATCCACATGGACAGGTTAGCTTTATTTGTAGTTATACTACATGTTTAACTAAGCCTATCAAATGTATATAGTTACTTTTAAATAACTTTCTTTGCCAGAAAAAAAGTAAAAGTATTTCTCAGTATCTTTACTTATTTTTCAAAACGATACTTTCATTTATTTAGACTTAGCCAAGCATGCTCATTGTTCAAAATTTCCTATATTTGTAACTGGTCTTTCTTTTTCGGAAAATAAACAGATCCTTTCTTTTGGCTATTAACCAATATCGAGCTTTGGTGTCTACACAGACATAGATGAGCTTAAGTACACAGGAAACCAATCATTTTCATCCGCCACAACAGTGAAATGCTTCCTAGAATTCTATATATTAAATGGACTGATTTGTGTTTGCAGATTTATGGATACAGAATGTCACTTTGGGCAGAGCACATGGGAAAACTTGACGATTGCTTGAAGGAGCCAGAAAGTTTGGATTGTGTGCAGTTTGTAAATCATATTGCTGAAACTAACTGGAAGAAATACGTAGCTGACGAGTTCACTCCATTACAAGGCCATCTTCTCAGATATCCGGTTGATATAGATGTTAACGGAAAGGTAAATCCCTTGCCAGGGCATGAAAATTTCCCAGATGTTGGTGGTAAGGTGCTTGGAGCTCCAACCAATCTGCCTGACGCTTTGACTACATAGCCACTCTCATTGTTCCATGTCCATAGTTTCATCTACATATATTTATTGGTATTCCTTCGTGTTTCGTGTTAATCACATATAGATCATTTGGCACCCCGAAAGGGGCGGAGTGGGAGAGAGAGGGAAGAAATCCGTTAACTCAAAACATAATAATATCTGAGAGAAGCTAATTCAGCAGAATACAGGTGCAAGATTCTAAAGTCATTGCCATGTAATGTAACAATATTAAGTGGTACTTTTGTTCATAAAGGTGTCTTTTTATGTGTATATCCCCCTGATTCAGAAATTCTGTAAAATTCTTTGATCAAAACTAATAATAGTTTTGTGCACGGATTTATGTAATGTGATGCTTGCATATTATTAACTATTCAACTTAAAGGAACCTGAAGAAGGGATGAAAAATGTTGTCTCATCCAAAGTAATTCGATTTGCTTGTAGGATACATAGGCTTTGATTTCTGATAAATAAAGGAATGGCATGAATCTAAGTAAACTACTCCTAAGAACAGGAATTTTTGGTATCTGCAAACTTTCTATTGTGTGAAGGATTTTAATGGGGCGATTTTTCCCGGGCCAAGAGCAAGAATCTTTCACATTGAGGGTGATTTTGCTTTGTTCCTTTTTTATTTCATTTTGTTCATTATTGCTCTTGTAAGAAGGGACTATATCTTAATCCCTAACGATGAGTTTGATTGAAGAAAGGCTGAATGGACAAACATAATTGTAGTTAGCTTTGTTCATGCTGCAATCTTAGCACCCCGAGAGCACCCATCCCTCGTAGTGCTTAAACACACTTCCATTGTGTAATTTTTAGTAACGTGATAATATAATATTATACCGTCTCATTTAATCAAAATTAAGTGAGACTATCTATCAAATAGACCATTGTCCATTTCGTTTTATCAACTAAGCGGGATGACAATATCTCACGAAAGTCCATGCACTTTTTTTGATATAACAAGTGTCACATTAAAGGGATTTGACATATATAAATCATTCATTTCAATTAACACAACATACATACACTGTCAAAGAATAGACACGTACATCCACATGCACAGTATCAATTTAGAATTTATCATAGTTCATGCATTGAAGGTATACACATAATGTAATCAGATTCATTAATCACATCATACAAGTGCAATATGTGAATATGAATTAATTCATTAATGCAATATGATAATTCATAACCAAATTAGTAAATTTATCTTTTGCTAATTATATATGTAAAATCAAATTTCATGTACACAAATTCAACACAATAGAATTATGCAAAAAAGCAAAATTCTCTTTACCATTTCTGATAAGAAAGTAGAAGATAAACGAAGGAGAATGAATAAACCAGAAAAATCAAGAAAAATTCGTCATAAACCTATTGTTCTCCTTTCTGGAGCATTGTCATTCTCCTTCTTAACAATGAGAAGACGCTTACAATGATAGTGGAATTGAACCATGAACAAAATCGAAATAGAATTCTAATTCGAGCTCGCTGAATTTCAGACGTGTCCTTAAGACGAATTTACTTCCTTGTGCGATGTGTAAAGACGATCATCATCATCTCTTGAGATAGAATGTATTTTATCCCTTACCGAAACAGCACAACAATCTATAAAAGTTCCAAGTAACTCAACATAGTATTTTGTACTCGAAAATTTGGAGTAGAATATATTGAATTTATTGTATTTGAATGGTGTCTTCTCATTCTGAAATAGTATATCATGGTGTGTATTATGATTATTTCGGTGTGTCTTTTCTGGTATAAAAGCAGGCCGTTTATACAGTGCTTGTAGCCATTTAAACAGTGTAAAAGATCTCTTCACAAATAGTGGTGAGTGGTGACTATTCAAATACTCTTCCAAACAAATAGAGGTGTTTGTTATCGTTGGTCACAAGTCATAGATGTTGATCACGTCATAAATAGATGTCCATCAAAGGTCACGAACATACGCCATCACAACTGTTAGGTATTTAATGTAATTGGCTATTCTGTAAACAAAAAGGATTAAAGTTGATATGTTGTAAAAAGTCAAGGAGTAGTGTGAAATTAGTGAAAGTTATGATATTTTAGGTCTAGGATTCAAGAATGGGAAAGAAGGAAAAACGGCGCAGAATTTCACTACTTTTCGCCAAGGTTTGGCTCAAGCGTCAGAAACAGAAACTTCATCGCTCGACTGTCACTTCACCTTCACTCGAGAACAACCTGTCGCTCGACTGTCATTGGACCTTTGCTCGAGCGACGGTATTATTAAGAAAATTTTTATTTCATTTTTTAAAGGCTTTTTGTCCGGCCCATTCATTCTCTAACCTACATATAAATACTTGAACGTCTCTGAAAGTTTTTTCTGAGGTTCATTATTGAGAAACACTACTACTTTCATATTATTTTCACTCTGAAGTATTCAACCTTCATTGTTCAAATTGATGTGTTCTTGGCGGTGAAAAAAATCAGTTTCACAATCCAAATACCAAACTGTTGCTTCCTTCATATTTGTCAGAGTTTCTGAAAATCAAGGAAAAGTGACTGAAGTTCCAGTCGTTGAAGAATGCGGTGTTCTTCGTGAATCCACAGGAGATAGACAATTTCACAAAGTTCGGAGTTACTGCAGGATAGAGCAATTCAGGAGAGCTTTGAAAACTGCAGTTGAGAGTTGGTGCAGGAGCACAGAATCCAGGAGAGCTGTTGGAATTGCAGTCAAGAGATCAGATAGTATGTGTCGTCATCTAGTCTGGTAGACTGTAAGTTAAAAATCATTTATAGTGGATTGTTGACTGGCAAAGTGCTCGGACCTTCACCTAGTTGGGTTTCTCCGTGATCAATTCTTGTGTTCATTTATTACTTACATAACTGCGGTATTTTAACATAGGATTAATTGAATTGCATGTTTAATCATCTAGAAAAATAATTAATTGTGACTTCTTGCTAGTTAATTATTAAATAATTTTTAATTCTGCATAATCACATATTCACCCCCTCTAGGTGTTGTTAGGGTCGAACTATGTACTTTCAATTGGTATCAAAGCCTTAATTTGATTCTTGACCCATAATAAATTATAGATGAGTAAGCCATTGACTGTGCCTCTGTTTTTCCACAGAAGCAACTATGCTTACTAGAAAGTTCGAATAAGAGCATTCTTTAAAGTTTTGGATGAACGTATTTGGATTTGCGTTCAAACTAGGTGGACTCCACCTTCAACTATTATTGCTGGTGTAGTTATAGCCACTGATATCTCACTCTGGACTAAAGATGATTTAGCTGAGTATAACAGGAATAGTAAGGGCATTCATGCTCTGTTCATGGCTATATCTCTTGAAGAATTTAGGAGAGTGCTGATGTGTGAGTCTGCTAAAGAAATTTGGGATATCTTAGAAACCACACGCGAGGGAACTAAAACTATTAAGAATTCTAAACTGCAGATCTTAACCTCTAGGTTTGAAGAAATTAGAATGAAGGACTAATGAATTCTATGCGAAGTTGAATGACATAGTTAATTCGAGTTTTAACCTAGGAGAAAGGAACCTCGAGTCTAAGATCGTTAGAAAAGTTCTTAGATCCCTACATGAAATGTTTAGACCTAAAGTCGACACTATTGAAGAAAGTAAGGATTTAGATACAGTTAAGATAGAAGAACTCGTAGGATCCCTTCAAACCGATGAACTCACCGTTTCTCAACCTAAAAAGGTTAAATCTATAGCCATGAACACTGTTAGAGAAAAAGAGAGTGAGTCTACCAACGCTGAGACACTTAAGA